GGCAGCCGTGGTGTGCGGTCGTGCATGCATGTAGTAGACGGATAAGATAGCGTGTGTGCCGGTCAAGTAAGAGGCGTGCATGCGTGTGGTTAGTTAGCAAGATTACTGCGTGCGTGGAGTTAGTGGCCGGGTCTTGCGTGCGTGCGTGTGCTAGTATGTGTGTGCAGCCGGGTATAAAATGCCCCGCGATGTACTGCTCGTGTGTGGGTGTTGGTTCGAGTTCGTGCTTGAGGAGGAAGCCGTTCGTGCGGCAGGCGTATGTGCGCCGGAAAAACACCACCGTGTCCTGTGTCTCCTCTTTCTTCTACCTTCGTTCGTGAGAGAGAGAGAGAGAGAGAGAGAGAGAGAGAGAGGGAGCTGGGCACCGGCGCAAAGAGCAAGGTAGGGCTCGATGCCAACAATAGTTATCCATTGACACGTGTTAACCAGATTAAAAAAGGTACTGAAAAGGTCGCCAACTTACCAGACACCGCTCAGATTCCACTCAAGAGGCGCGGCAGGGCCGCGCCCCAACCGCTAGTGAAAGTGCAAGGGTGGCATTTTTCTGAAGCCACGTATTAAAAGTGGCAAATAACCAATTTATCCACATATTAAAAGTGGCAAATAACCAATTTTCTTCGAAAATACAAGATAGTTCTAACTTTCCTTTTTGTCGGGTTGGCTGACGCCTAAACTGGGCCACAAGGCAATCAACTCTTTGCTACTGGCTAATACCAATCCGTTCACCGAGCATTCTCGCATTCATCCACAAAGGTAAGTCAACTCCTTTATCTCCTTGCATATCGCTTAGCTGATTCAGCATTTCTTTTGCTCCGCCTAGCCTCGATTTGTTTATCATAAGTAGTGACTCACATGCTGATTATTTCTTCCTCCTGCCTCAACTTATATTAGTTTTGATTTATTAAAACATATTGTGTCAGTCAATAATGTATTGATCTGTTGACTTATGTCTTTCAATACTATTTATCTTTGGATCCTCTATGGCACCGAATTCATTGTAGCAGTGAGAGAAAAAAACCCTTCAATTTGAACACTTTGTTTGAAAAGAAATAAAGATGCATGTGTCTAAGTTTACAACCTTATTAAATAAACGAGTACATGTTATGTCAACTTAATCTTGAGCGAAAAAGGATTCTCAAAGAAGTTTGTCTTTAATTTCAAGATATTTTGCAATCCGTCGAGAGCTAGGACGTGCGTCCAGCAGCAACTTAAACATTGTGTACATGGAACAAACCACCAAGAACAAGAGCATAAGAACTAGCCTCATCTCTTTACCACAACATCATATAGAAAAACCAAGCTTGACGATCAACATCTCATATCTAAAAAGGGAACAAGAGCTTTGCAATTCTGTGTCCAGTAGCCACTATCATTATCAACTGTAGATCATTTATGCATGTACCAACTAGATATATCCTTTTTTTTGTATGAACTATTTTGCAATGAATCAAGTGTTGGGACGAGTTACCAAATATTAGAAAAAAGCAAATAGTTTATCAATCCATGTGGCGCGGCGGCGCCGCGCACTACTCGCTAGTACAAAGCTACAACTATAAAGTACAACTACAAATTATTTTAATTTGTACATTTAAAACTATACAACTAAAAACTACTACTGTCACACTAAAACTAGCTAGAAACTACAAATACCTACAAACTAAAAACCAAAAGTACAACCATGAAACCCTAACTTTATACCTGCCGGAGTGGAGGGCGACGGGGCAGTGGATCGAGGGTGACGTCGGCGGCGGACCGAGGGTGACGTCGGCGGCGGACCAAGGGTGACGGCGGCGGCTGATCGAAGGCGAGGGCGACGCGGTGGAGGGCGAGGAAGATGGCGAGGGCGAGGGAAGCGACGACGGTAGCGGACGACGGACGACGAGGACGAGGACGAGGGCAGCGGACGGCGATGGCTAGGGCGAGGATGGTGATAGCGAGGGCGAGGACGGCGACGGCGGCGACGGGGAAAGGGAGAGAGTGAGAGTGAGGGGGTAGGAGGGGGAGGGGGCACGCACATGCAGATATTGCTCGTTACCTGCGACTGGCGCGCCACCCAACCCTCCACTGCTACTTTGGCATAGCGGGCGCCAGTACCAAAGGTTGAATTTGAACAGTCTGCCACTAATTTACATGTGGTGGGCACGACCAGATGCACTAAAAAGAATACAAATAGCCGATTGGAGGCTTTTAGCTGTGGCGGGGACTGCCGCCACTGCTGCCTGTAACAACAGTGGCGGGTAAGCCTAGCCGCTCGCCACAAAAAACATTCATAACATAGCATAACATAACATAGCCACGCTCAGCTATGCTTGCTTGTGGCGGGTGACGTATTCTGCCCGCCACTGCAGTGCCCCCAATTCTGGCGGTCACTTTATGTTACCCGCCACTGCTGCTTCTCCTAACTAGCTCCCGCCACTCTATTGAGTTCACCTATAAGACCTTTCTCAATAGTGACAGGTCGGACCCCACCCGTTGAAATCAGGGGAGGAGATTATGTAAAGGCGAGCTGGGGCCTAGTAGTTGAATTCACGGTAGGTGGATGCACACATATGCATGCATGCATGGGCCCCGCGTCCGACACACATCCTTTTCCATGTATGGGCTTCGCATGTAGAGATCGCGCGCTGCAATGCGTGGTCGTGAAAGAGTCGTTTCGGAATATATCATCAGCTCAGCTCGCCCTAGACCATCGCCGCGTCAAGCGTCCAAAGTCCTAAGTCCACGTGAATTTTCACATGAGCACGCGCTTTAGGTGCAATGTGCTTCCTTTACGTGTGCTTCTAGCATTTCTATGGCCGTGCAAGCCTCCCCTTATATGTTGGTCACACACTGCCACTAGGTAATAGGGGGTCGAACTGTCCATAAACCGGAAAGGAAAAACCAGAAACCAACCACTTTGGTTGGTTTGCGCGCGCGGGAGAGCTCCGCGTGCACCATTTGTCACGCGCGGAGAGCACACGAAGCATTCACTCGTTCCTTTTCTAAGGAGCACTCCTTGACTATTGCCTCCTGGCTGCTTTCCAGTTGTACTCCAATCTGATATATTGTACTATAATCCAGACATGCATTTTGGCTGCTTTTCATGTCACCCATCGGCATTGGAGCTATAAACTTGTCAAACAAGACGACTCCTTGTCCTCGCTGAATGCCTTCTGAAGCGAGTCATGCACGTCATGGAACCTCCTCTTCTCCATGGATGCTTCTTTTCCGAGAGAAGCCAGCTTAGATTCATCATCCATGATCTTGTCCAGCACATTCGAACAACGCGGAAAGAAGCGCCTAACAAGTTCAACAGGTAACAAAACATTGAGCTTGCAGTTAGTCCAGATCCATGTTATTAAATTTCAACTTCAGCTACGCAGGCTTTCTTATTAAGGATGTTAAGCAGATAAGCTAAAGAAGTGTAGTATTACGCTGAAAATATAAAGAATATAGAGGCGCCGTGGTTATACAAAGGCAATAATCTGTGTCTCACCTGTTTTGGAGAGGGCCCTCATCCGAGCCAAGTGTTCGTCATTCATTATCAAAGAAGTTTCATTTAGATCAACAGTTGCCTGTTGTATCTCTGGAGGTGGATCTGCACTAGAACCAAGGATAAATTCCGAAGTACCATCCAGTTGAGCAATGTCCATTGCTACTCTTGCCTCGACTGGAAAATGTATCCTTGCCAAACCAACTGCATATCAGGAAAATAAGTGAGTGAAAACACAACTTCCAAGAGAAAAATGCATGTGTAAACCAATACCAGACAGACCATTTTGAACACCACACAGTTTGTAGATGAATATTACCTCGGTTTTCAAGGTACAACAACTTTCCAGGTTCACAGTCACCAACCCTTGCAAGAGAAACCGATGCTTCTCCAACTTGTGGATCCCATCTTTCAGCTTGCTCCAGTACCTCAATGCATAACCTATCTTTAGGAGACGGTTTTCCTTCTTCAGTAATCCCAAAGTAATCCCTATGTTTTGTGAGTCTCTTTGCTATTTGAATTGCTTTTCTTCCATCAAATGTAAGATCAGAAGGCCGAGCACCTTTGGTTAAAAGAGAGACAAGAATTTTAGGATCTCTTCGCCTGGCAGCAATGTGAAGAACAGTATAACCTCTTGGATTTCTGTGATTGACATTTGCATGTGCAATGTCCAGAAGTTCAGTTGTGATCTTTGAGTTACAATGTTCTACAGCATAGTGCAATGCAAATGCATCATCAAGGTTAGTCTGCCCTTCCTTGAGCAGCATCCTCACCAGCTCCACATCACTAGAGTCAAGAGCTCTGAGTATCCTTCTTGCATGTTTCTTAGGAAATCCCTTGTCTTCAGGTGAAACTAACCCAAGACTTAGCCGTGCATCAGTAATTTGCTTCATAACATCTGGAGGCAATGCTTTCTCAAGAGTAATCATCTCAAGATTTGACCGGACTACCATCTCAAGGCATCTATCGAGCAGTTTCATGCAAGATTTATTGCACAAGTTTGCAACAGATAATATCAATGGAAGGTTACCCACTTCAACATCATCAAGGACATCAAGGAGATGCCGCTGTGTGGAAAAGAAGGGCATAACGTGGCTTAGTATTGGCTCCTTAAATACGCGAAACAATACAACAATCACTGTTATAGGTAGCATCTCAACAAGAATTATCATCGATTTTTAGACACACAAGTCATCTGTAGCAAAGTCAAAGCTATAAAAAAAGGCCAAATAAGAAACTGAAAAAGGGAAATAATAATTAAGGTCCTGTCTCAAGATCTCTAGATTGTGCAGTTCATGGGTTGATAACTATTTACCCCCCCCCCC